CCCCCCGGCGCTTCCCCGCTTCTTGTTCTGTCTAAATCATTGCCTTGAAGAAACGTTTACCTAAAGATGCACATGCTCTTTTAAAATGGGTGTTTTTACAATTCACCTTGTTTATATCCTGCCTTTCCTCCCCACTAGGGAGCCACAGTGGCTTGCATTGTTCTCTCCTTTTTCATTTCACCCTCACAACAACCCTATGAGGTGGGTTAGGCTGAGAGCATATGACTGGCCCAAGGTCACTCAGAAAGCTTCCATGGCACAAGTGGGGATTTGAACCTGAGTCTCCCAGATCCTGCGCTGACCACTACACCACACCAGCTCCTCCTGGGTGTATTCAGAGGCAGGCTGCAGAGTCCCCACGTGTTTCACGCCTTAGGCAGAATTATGAATGACACCTCTGGAGCATGATCACTAGTGAAAGCAGCAGCCCTGTGCATGTATACACAATGGGTTAATACACAGTGGGTTGGATCCTATTGTAACATCCATGCACAAGGGGTGTCTTATCCTATTAAATGTTACAGGAGATGCCTTGGGGTTGTAGCTTTGAGCAGCTGACAAGTGTTATCCCCGATACGTAGTTCTGGCTTTAATCCTCTAAACATCCTGATGATTATACCTAGCCTTAGTACAGCGCTTCATTTACATTATCCAAATATTACCCACAACGTTCCCTGTAATAAATTAATAATTATCGTCTGACATTGCACGTAGTGTAGCCAGGAGGTCCTAAGATTGTATGGCAGCCTTAAGTTCTAGCTCTTTTGGCGTTATGCACCACTAGGTGGCGAGCTAGACTTTTTTGGGGGGGGGCTCAGAGAGCTGTGAGAGAGCTGTGACTGACCCAAGGCCACCCAGCTGGCTTCATGTGGAGGAGTGCGGAATCGAACCCGGTTCTCCAGATTAAAATCCGCCACTCTTAACCACCACACCATGCTGGCTCTCAACAATCCCTGTCAAGTACAGTAGTGCTACTATCCCCATATTGAGAAAGCCAGAGCAGGGTAGTGGTTAGAATGTCTGACCAGGGCCAGGGAGACTCGGGTCTGAATGCTTAGTCTGTCCTGAAGTTCGCTGGGTAAACCTGAGCCATTTGATTTCATTTAGTCCAGTCTTCCACACAGGGTTTTTATGAGGGTAAAATGGAGAAGGGGGAAACCACAGACACCACCCTGAGCTCCTTGGAGGAGGGGTGTGTGTTATAAATGTGGTCTGTAGAGAGGATATTGTGGATAAGGCAGTCCACTAAAGCAAGCGGCAGAGGCAAGTTTTGAACTGGGCATTTCCTGGCTGATTATTCCCCGTAGGTTCCTTATACCACTGGAGCGTCACAAAGTAATTAATTCCCCTGTCTATTATTCAAATGTATTGGCTGTCTGGAAAAAAAAGATGGCACTTGGATGTATAAGCGGGACGAAATAGTAGTTTGCATCTAGGGGGTTGGTTTGCTTGCATGGTTCTCCTAAAGGAGAGAAAACGACTAGCCGGCAAGCTTTTCCCCACCTTGTTTGCTGTGTGGGCTGACCGCCTGATATGCCCCGTCTCCCCCTGCCGGGAACACCCCAATGCTCTTCTGTTTCAGAAGAACTGCCTTTGCCCCGGGGCCAGTGGCCAAGGACTTTGCCCTCTTCTGCTCACCCACTTGTTCCTGCATGCCAGCAGCTTGGAACACTGGAAGGCTAGCAAGTCAAAAAGGGAAGGGCAGCTGAGGATACTATAAACTCGCCTTACAGCTGTAGCTGCCTCCCTAACATCCCACCCCCCCGCCCTTCCCTCTTTCTCGCCGCCCCCCCTGAGCCCCTTGCTGTTTCTCTCAAGTCCCTGAACAGTCTCCTCTGTATCACCCCATTCTTTGCTTGCAGGGGAATGAAAACACTGCTTTGTCAGAATCGTAAAATCGTCTTTCAGGTTTACATTTGCAAATGGCTCATTTGCAAGGGAGAATACCAAGCACTTCGATTGCTGTTCTAGGGGGGCAAAAACCTACTAATTTCCCCCCATTTCTGTCCATCTAGGTTCATGAAAAGGATGTGATTGGCATCGCACACCATCCCCACCAGAACTTGATTGGAACCTATAGTGAAGATGGGCTCCTGAAGCTCTGGAAACCATAGGACTGATTTTTCATTCCCTTCGGTGTACAGGGAGGGTGTACATTATAGTGGTTTCGTTTTGTTGTTGTTTTTCTTATGAGGTCCAGAAGCGTCACTTTTAAACTCCGACAGAATTTCATGTTCAGCTGTCCTAAGAGAAACGTATGCATACTACTTTTATGCTAAGGGTAAGGTTTGTTAGCCGTGCTGGCTAATTGTGTGCCTGCACAGCAAAGGCAATTTAATTTTTTTAAAAAGCAATTGCTTCCCATAAGATTTCCATTCCACTGCATATAAAGTCGATGGGAAATGAACAGTTGAGTCTTGAAACATTTTAGTTTTTGTGCACTGAATGTGAAACGGAAAAATCCTCTTGGCAGAGGCAAAATTACGGAAAACAAAACCATGGAGCTTTTACAGTCTGAAAATGAGGGCTGGGTTAAGAGTTCTGCCTCTTAATGCTTTGTGTGGGTACGCTGGTGTTTGCAATAGGCATGAACCAGCCAAAGTGAAGAACTTAAAAACCCCACTGATTTTTTTATCGGGAGAGTACTATATGAACTTAAATTTCCCTTTCTGAAACCATTTAACTTTAGCCTGGGATGGGACACTTAGTAAATCTTCCTGGCTTCAAAAAAAACAAAATCAATGACAACACTTTTGTGGCTATTTTCAAGGTGGGCATTTAACTCCAGCCTTCTGTAGAAAATATTGTCATAAACTTTTATAGACTTTTTAAGGCCCCTGTAGATGTGTGGTCTGAACTGGTTTTGTTCAGCCTCCATTACCGTTTAAGTCAAAAAGCTCTTTTCCTTCTGTTTTCAAAAGACTGGCCAGTCTTGCTCTAGCTATTAGTCTTGATGTTCAGACTTGCTAAATTGTTTTGATCACCAGGTATGTGTGGCTTTTATTGGGAGCCAATTGTTATGTGGTTTGTTTATTCTTCCAGAATAAAACCCTTGTCTACTACAAAGTGTCTGGCTTGTTTTCTGTCAAGGCAAACTTTTTAAACTTTGCTTTTTAAGAGGTCTGGAATCCAGCTTGTAAAGCACATTTTGTTTCCCAGTGCTGAGACTCTTGTTCTCTTTTGTCCGGCAGCTGCTGACAGTTGCTTATATATTACAGCTCGAGTTGCCTTTGAGAGGCTCCAGGCTGAAACAGTCATCAGTCTCTTTGTAAGTCAAGCAGCCATTAACAAATAACCACATGAGTCAGAAACATGGGAAAAGCCAGTGAGCACAATGCACTGATAGGAGACTCCTTCTGTTCAGGAGCACTAGAAATCTACATGGGTAGGACTCAGATGCTGTATTTGTCTTCAGGCCAGGGTACCAAGATGACTTGGGGGATTAAAACTAGGGGGTGCTGGTGCACAAAATTGTAACAGGTAGCGCAGGGATTGCTGTTTTCAGACCACAAGGTGTTTTCCTCTCCATTGGAAACAATGGAGGATGTGGGCACCTCCTTCTGGGGGCCATAGAATTGGACTCCTTTGTCCAGTCTTTTGAAACTTGGGGGGAGGGAGGTTTTGAAGAGAGGCATCAGCAACTATGCTGCAAATTTGGCACCTCTATCTTAAAAAAACAGCCCCCCACAACCCCAGATACTCCTGGATTGATTCTCTATTATAGCCTATGGGGCCCATTGACTGTAATGGTCCCCATAGGCTACAATGGAGCTGGGGAAAATGATTTGTTTTTTTTGCACACCCCTATTATGCTTTTCAGTATGATTTGTAAGTTGCCTTGAGTCACTGAGAAAAATGTGATATAAATATATGAAAAAGTAGTTTGGGCAGGTTGATAACATCTAAGCAGTGTTCCTGTTAGGTTAGGCACAGTTCTGACAGTGATTGTTCTACCTCTGTTATACTTTACCTGTAATGCCAGTTGTCGTATTTCACTAAAAAACACAAAGTAGACTGCAAGATGTCCCCCCACTCCAAGTGCTGGTATGTTTTCTAAGGCTCAGCACAGGATGACGATCCGAGGCCAGGTCTACCAATATAATGGAAAGGGGTGGGTGAAATTTGACTTGGTTCTGTTTTATAATGTTTAAATTATTCTTAAAAGTAGTTTAAATATAATTCAAAAGAATTTATTCTGAGAGTTTTACAAAGTTATGGAAGTAATCTAAAAAACTCTGATAGTCAAATGTAAACTTGCTCACAAGTTTAATGCTACTAGCTTTTTTCGCTCACAGCACTGTGGAGCTTAGAGTGAAGACGGCTTGTGAGTCATTATACCCCCACCAGTACCCTCCAGTCTTGGCTTCATTGACCACAAGTGTGGCAAAGTCTCCTCCCTTATCTGTGTTCAACTGGAGACAATTTACAGAACTGGGGTGGGGTGGGGAATGTACTGGATGATCTTCCATTTTCTCTGTTCTGCGGTGCCACAAATTTAACACCATGCCTTTTCAGATATTCTGTTGACGAGCCTTACAGCATGTTCTGACTCACTGAAACGCTCTCTCCTAGGAATGGCACACAGCTGTTAAAAATCCCACCCAGAATACACCTTACTCTATTGAAGTTGAACAGAATATTTGATTTACTATGAAAGGTTGTTCCCATCGGTGGCTGATGTTCCAGCTTGCCCAGAATGTCTTGCTGATTGGATTGGGAATTAGGGAACACAGGCAGGGACCAGTGGGGGGGATCCCCTCCTTGCCCACCAGCCAGCCTCCATTGTTACCTCTCCGCAGCTCACAGCACTTGGCAAGGATGGTGGTGAAAGAGCTTTTGCTCTTTCCTCACCCCCCATCCGTCCCCATTTTTAAAATGGTGCTTGTTTTCCACTCCTCACAACAACCCTGTAAGGTAGGTTAGGTTGAGAGAGTGACTGGACCAAGGTTGATCATTCACGGTAGAGGGGAGATTCAGAATTGGGTCACCCAGATCATAGTCTGACACTCTTACTACCGCACCACACTGGCTTTCATGTGGTGACTGCTGTTGCAGTGACTTGCCTGATCACTGCTGGTCTTGGTGAGTGTAGTGAATTGCATAATGGTTGCAGCAAGGCCTAGCTCAATGAGTCTTCACTTTGGGGGATGGGAGTAGGGGGTGGCCTGCAAGGCCCAATTAGCCCTGGAAAGGGCTCTCACCCTGCTTCTCAGTGACAGAAACCAAGGCTCGAAGGCTGGCAGTGTTGTGATTGCCTAGCAACTGGACAGTGGCCACTGTAGTCTCATTTACTAAAGGTACAGTCACTGCTTCTATTATTTTGAAGGGCTTATATCCTCCATGTCCCCCCCCACCTCCAGATTCTTCTAAAATCCTGGGGGCTTTTTTATTTCTATTCCGCTCTCCCCCACAATTGTGGGGCTCGGTTTGTAGAAAGCTCTTATCGTTCCAATCTCCGTATGTAATTATCCACAGATGGGCCCATGTTGAGAATCTGGTACATCGATCATTAGTCTTTTGTTACTTGAGGCATGGAGTTCCTTGCTTCTCCATATTTTGTTTGGGCCCATAGATAAACCAAATTTCTATGTGAAAAATCTGTACTGGACTTTGTAATTATCTTTGTCCCTGCTGTGTGAGGGGCTTACTCTCCTATAGCAGATACACAGTAGCTCAGTGTCCATCTCACTCTGATCTGCTGCTAAAAGCATAGGGTCCCATCGAGCAGGGCCCTACATAGTAATTTCAATATACCTTTCTTTGTAATTGTTTTGTGAGCTGCTTTTGTTCCAAAAAATTCAATGACAATCCTCTTTTTAGTTTAGCTATTGTGTATCCCTTTCGCAAAATGTTCAGAGTGCTTTGCTAGCTCTTAAAATGAGGCTGGGGGCTTTTAGGCATGGAAGACAGTGTCATGCTCATTATTACAGTGATACTGTGTATTTTTCTGCCCCATTTCACTGGATATTGACAAGTCTAAAAATGTAGTTCTTGGTAGTAGCTGTACTGGGTAATTTGAGTCCCTGGTATTGGACTGACCTGGGGCAACCTAAGTTTATTGCTGCACAGGGAATACTAGCGACATGCTTTTCAAGCTTCCTGTCAGAAGTTTCCCAGCTCAGGTTATCACTCCTGTCCCCATGGGTAGTAGCATGGGTATCATTTTGTCCACAGCTGACAGCATAAGTAGGCAAGATACATGAATAAAAACATGCTTTTCTAAATCAACAGACTAACAACACTTTTTACAGTGGTGTTCATGTAGGTTTTAGGTTGTGCCTACATACATACTGTGTAGTGAATAGGCTCTGAGAAATTAAGACATCTCCATCTGGTTAAAAGGCTGCTACAGTATCTATGTAAGGGTCCCAGGAAACATCTTTTCATTCTTTGTACGTAGTCATCTTACTTGCCCCCTTACCCAACTCATACAACAGACACGATCCAGCAAATTAGCAGGAGGGAAGCAAGATACAGTAGGCAAGATACATGAATAAAAACATGCTTTTCTAAATCAACAGACTAACAACACTTTTTACAGTGGTGTTCATGTAGGTTTTAGGTTGTGCCTACATACATACTGTGTAGTGAATAGGCTCTGAGAAATTAAGACATCTCCATCTGGTTAAAAGGCTGCTACAGTATCTATGTAAGGGTCCCAGGAAACATCTTTTCATTCTTTGAACATAGTCATCTTACTTGCCCCCTTACCCAACTCATACAACAGACACGATCCAGCAAATTAGCAGGAGGGAAGCCACTAAGTATGGTTTTAATTGAGGAACTGAAAAGAGGTTGAAGCCATCCGATGTACCCTAAAACATTAGTTCACAGAATTAAAGCATTACAACATGAAAGGCGCTTTTGCTAAGGACAGTGAAGTATAAAACCACCCAATGCTTTAAAGGGCTGAACAGTCTAGCCTGTTCAACCTTTTAAGTCATTCACTTGAGCTATGAATATGGTAAGACGGCTCCAAATTATCTACACATTTCATAACACAGCAGCAGGAGGCAGACATTGTACTGGGGTAAAGCTGCCTCCATGGCATAATTTTCCATTGCATTAACACCTCAGGTAGCTCTTTAGGAAGCACGCATGTTTAAAGAGGGTCAAAAGGAGGAAGAGATTCAACTGCTGGAAAGCACAGTGTTTATTTTCCCTCCAGGGGGTTGAAATACAAATGCAAGCATTTTTTTTTTTTAAAAAAGGTCACATACTAATCCTCATCACATGGTCTATATGATTACATGCTACATAATTTAATCAAAGGGCTGAGAGAGGCTAGGAAGAGTCACAGCTCATCAAGGCCTAGTGGGGTGGTGGCTTTGTGAGGAAATGGGAGTGCAGCACTTGCTGAGCTGCATTTAGCAGCCCACTGCCTCTGCAGGCCTACTAGGACAGCAATGGGGGAAGAATCAAGGGTCACCTTGAGTCTCAGAAGAGGCCAGCAGTATACGAAACCATTATTCCTCCCACCATCACTGAAGACCACATTGAATTGGCCAGTACTGAAGCCTGTTTAAGAAACTGCACAAAAACCTACAGCAGCTTAATTCAGGAATGGGCGATGAATGCCAGCGATGTTATTTCTCAAGTACTCAGTTTAATTATTTTTTTTTAATGTTACTCACTTAGAAGCCCTGAAAGCAAGTATGTTAAGCTCAAGTGGGTGCAACTGTACACTAAAGTCAGACTCATGCTGTTTTGGTTAAGCCTTCAGCATTTTACGTTTACACCCCACATGAGCAGGCCACAGGATGAACTGTATTAGCTATGCTAGGATCCTGTATAAATCTTAACAAGGAACGATAGCAGTATCATACAGACTTTCAGGGTCCAATCCTGTTTCCCCTGTCACTACATCATCAGTTCCTCCTCCTACACAAGCTTCACTGGGCACCTGAAGATCAGTGGTTTTGAGAAGCCAGTACAGTGGCACAGAGGTTATGTGATGACACCCCAAACCAGCTACACATCCAAAACACATCAACATACGTAGCAGCTGATGAATACAAAACCTTTAATTTCACATCTTAACATGAATCATAAATACATGTGCATACTTAAGAGGCAATATAATTTAATACTAAACAGAAATCACTGAATACTAAGCCAGTGCATTTGCACACAATACAATTACGATGCACAAAATTAAAAAAAAGGGAGAGAGAAAAACAAAAAACAGCCAGAGCAAGTTGGCTTCTGGATTTTCTTAGGAGGCCATATAGAAATATGAACATCATCCTACTTGATTGGAGTAGTTTTTAGATTTAGTTTGTTAACCTGATTTAAAAACAACTGTATGTTTTAATATTACAGGGAAAATGGCAAGTTTAAGAGTTGAGCAACTGCAGTCCTTCACTCATCCACAACTGACGTATGAGACAGGCAGCACAAGGGGGGCTCATGGGGCCTTTCTAACTGGTCTGGCACTGGACGCCACCTCTGTGATGGTGCTCGTCATCTTCATAAGCTTCCCCATTGTAATGGTGCCTTCTTTCCTGAGATGGGTCAAAGTCTACCAACTCTACCTGGTCCATGTCTTCAGTTTCCTCCACATTTTCCCTTGGAGGCAGCAGCTTTTCCAATAGGCACAGCTTATCTGAAGAAAGAAAGCCGCTCTCTGGGAAGATTACCTGTAATCAGGAAACAAAATTACTGTCTTCTCTTACGCACCATTCTTTCTCTGTAAAACATGGTTTGGCAGCTACAAGACTAGAAGTTTTAGAGTGAAAAAAAGCACGTTTCAGTTGCATTGCTTACACAAGTCAATTATCTTGGCACAGGACATATGGTGTGTTTTATTTTACTGTGCTGTATATGGAGTCTGACAGTCAGGCTCTGGCACATGTGGAAGAAATCTCAACTCTGCGTGAATTGGCAACTTCCACTGATTCTCCCTTCCCACTGTAGAACTCCCGTCACATTACATCTTAGAGTCCCCTATCCTATTCACGGACATCAGTGAGGAAGGAAAGTTCTGTTACACAGATGCAAAAGTTTAGTCTGGATCTACACCCCAAGATTTATCCTTGTTTTGAGCCATTTCAGACAGAAGCTGTGCTGCAGCTTACCTTGAACTCAATGATCAGACGACCCTTTTCGTATGGTCTGCGGTAGATAGGCATGCCCTCATTCAGCACACACTTAACATCTCCATGCTTGACAATCTGACCTGCAAACAGAAGTACTGTCATTCTCACTACCACCTGTTAATTTTACAGGATGGACCCATCACAATACGCTGTACAATGAAGCAAGAGCTCCCTGCTAGAGTGATTTATAATCTAGGAGATGACACGGAGTGCAGATAAGCAAAAGAAAGGAAGACTTTAAAAAACCCGAATTTGTTCATTGTATGTAAAATAAAGTAAAATGCTGTTTTACATGTCATTAAAAGGCCATACGTTGCTGAAGTGGAAGCTGGTACAAGACAAGTCAAGCTAAGTGCCTTCAGCCCTTTGTGAACCTCCAAAAGCTGATGCTGGGGATCAGCAGGGCCTGGTGGACAAGTGTGACAGGACGAGGGTCCCAAACCTTTTAATGCTCTACACTGGATCCAAAGATGCACCACTGTACATTGGAATGTGTCATCTGTTCACAGGAAAGTAGTTTTATGCTTCATCAGAAAAGCAAAACTAAACTCAAAGATGGTCTCGCACAGTAGCTTGTGCAAGAAAAACCATGAGAGCTACTACAGAATCTATTCAATACTGAACTCTTGCACAAGACCTTATGCAACAGGAGTAGCAGCTATTTCCTTTGACACACAGCTGTCTGGATCCAGGCTATTAATCTTCATTTCATCATGGCAAGCAATGGCTGCAAATTATGGTACCATTTTCTGTCAGTCTGGATCAGTGGAATGTGGTGATTTCACCCCTTAGTGTGACTTCACTAGCAAATTGGTGGCGTCACTCACAGAGTGGGTACATCACCTTTTAGCATCACTTGCTCCCTCTGGGCTGTCATTCACCCCATCCTCAAGGAACACTAGAGTGCCCAAGCTGCGCCACTCCAGACTACCAAGGAAACAGTGGAGTTAAAAATGCCACAACAGTAGGCAGGACCATAACCTGAAATGGGGTGCGGGTCTTCCTTCACACTGTAAAGAAGGAATCTGATTTGCATGGCTCTTGGTAACAGTAACCAACAAAGAATGCTTTCCTCTGGTGACAGAGAAATTAGACATGCACCTCCATGATGATTGCCAAATGCTATGGTAATTACTAGTAATGCAACCTCATGTGTTGCAAATCCATACTCCATTAAATTTGGGTAGATTTCTATGGATAACTGTGAGTATATAGTTGCTGTACAGTGCTGATTTATGCAAGGGGTGCAGTTGTCTTCATCACAAGTATTCATCACTTGCAGCTTTACTATCAGTGGTAAGCATTTTAACAACAGACTGGGTATAAACTTACCAGGGTGAGAAGTAATGATTATGGTTCGATTATCCAGCATTGCAATGGGTTTCTGAAAACCACAAAGTGCCTCAACCAACTGAATATCCATGCACATGACCAGGTCTTCACCCCGTCTGTAGAAGCAGAAAAATAGTTTGTGCTGTTGAGCTTTAGATGCTGTGGTAGGAGAGCAATTCTAGAGCTGCAGGGTACAACCCAATAGCCCCTATAAATACAGAGGCTGCTTCTCTATGGCTCAACTAGTTAAGAGTACTACATAAACGGAAGTATGTGTCCTGAAGAGTGTAATTTTATGGTCCGGGCGTTCAATCAGGACTCGGGAGGCTGAGGTTCGTATCTGCTTGGAGCTATGGAAACTCACTGGATGAGCTTGGGCCAGCCTTTCACCCTACCCTACCACAGAAGGTTTGTTGCAGGGATAAAGTGCAGGACAAAAGAAGCACATATGCTGCCCTGAGCTCCTTGGGAAAGAGCAGGATGGAAACTTTGTCTCTACTAGTTTTTGTCTTAAAAGCACTTATTCCTGTAGGAAGCAGAGCTATGTCCAGAATTAATAAACTGGCACTAATACTCTAAGCTGATCCCACATTTCCTGCCAAAAAAGGCAGGCAGACTGCAGTTGCATTTTGCACTGGCACTAGGCTGTATTTCACCAAGCCATGGAATATGCTTCTGAAGCCGTAAAGGTGCAGTACCCCATATACATCATACTAGTCTCAAAATGTTGCAGTTTATTAAACTGGTGGCAAGTTTTTGTAAAGAAATCGGGAAAAGACACAGAAACACTATTCTTATGATACGGTTTTGTTTCATCCATCTCTCCCAGCTCAAAGCAGTAGTAGAGGATACTCTCAGGCTCAGCTCCACCATCCCCTACTACTGCCACACTGACACGGCTCCTTCTGACTAGATGCCAGGGGCTTTCATGCTGCTCCTGAGAACCTGCCTGTCCACTAAAGGATGCAGGGTTTCAAAGTGGATGACGGGTGCTGCTGTAGCCATGTGGTACACGACTTAACTTTTAGGGTAGCCTTAGGAACTCACATAAATACTAACATTTTGGGGTAGGTAACCAATGGGCAACAGCAACTGCACTTCTATACATCCCCAGAGTAACAACATTGATTTGAAAGTTTTCCAACCATCTAAGGCTTTTTTTTGGAAATGGTGTTTATGACAATTCTTCTCTAAAGCAAGCCAGCAAAGAGTGACAAGGGTTTTAGTACAGCGAGAGAACATGAGGGCAAGAACAAAAAGAGGAGGCAAAAGAGGATGGGTGTCTGTAGCTAGGGTATATGTGCCAGGATTTCTTCAGAATACACCAGGACGAAAGGTATTTTAGTTATGGTCACATGCACTGGGACCATAAGCAAAAAACAAGCTTGTACACATTTTCTTCTGACTCTAAGGTGGTCTCTGTATCTCTGTATAAGTAAAGATTGCTACTGTAATTTTAGAAATAAAGATCAGCTTGGCTGGGATCTTGGTCCTGCTCTTAAGTGCACCTTTCTCGCATTTCCCAAGTGACCCAGATACAAGCCATGGGATCTGGCAACATGTGCATGTAAGAGTTCAAATGCAAGGCTCACCTTGTAAACACAGAATGGTCTTTTTGATCCAAGACTATGATAATGTCTCCAGGCTCCAAACCTGGTTCTTGGTCCCCTTCACCATGAAAAGTTATCTTCTGACCATCTTTCATTCCTATTGCAAGAATACCACATGACCACTGAGAAACAATATAAGAATCCCACGTTCTGGCATGTGTTATTAGGTACTAACACTTTCCCACAAACATGGTGTAACATTACCGCATTTTGCTTACATGTAAAACAGACTTCTGCCCTCTCCCAACTTCTCCCCACCAGTTCCCACCTTGTAAAGTTGATCTGGGTTTAAAATATCACAGCCACCACAAGGCACACACCTTTATCAATATGAACTTCCAGGATTTTCTTCTCTCTAACAATCTTCCTTCCATTGCAACTTTTACACCGGTCCTTGGGACTAATGCGCTCTCCATGGCCCTGACATTCCATACACACAGACTGAATTTGTTGAACCATTCCAGGTCCTATCTGGTGAATTCTGATTTGCATGCCGGTCCCTCTGCAATTAAGGCAGCATTCCACAGCACCCTTCTTACCACCTCGGCCTAGAAAACAGCATATAGGGGGGAAATTTTTACCTAAGATCAAGTAGCTGTTTCTGTGTCTTAAAAAATGCAGTTCTGTCAAACTTGACAGAATGTTTTGCCTGAATTTTTCAATGTACCTTCACATTTGTCACAAATCACATTCTTCTGCAGAGCAAGCTTTCGTGTTGCTCCATTGTACAGGTCTTCTAATGTTACTGACAACTGATGAACAACATTTTTACCTGTAAAGAAAGACATGTTTGAAGAGTCAGGACTCACATCTGTCACAAGGCAGATCATTTTGCACTAATTAGGGTGGAATTGTTCAAACTATAGCATGAAAACACATAAGCATAGCTTTGCAGCCCAACTTTTACTACTGTGTGTATCTGAGGCTTAACTAGACAATATTTGTCAATGGCAGTGCCTAAGAATTTGAAGTACAGCAGCAGCTTTGTTATCTGGCACCTATGGGGAATGGGGGCTGCCAGTTATTCAAGTGTGCCAGTTAATAGAACTTGATTATTCAATGACTGCTGTAGGCAACGAGCTGGATAACACAGCTTTTACTGTATGTGAGATGTTATTAATGAATGTTTTAGCAAAACCATAACAATAACAGCAATTAACGGAACCTACATTTTACCATATTAATTCAAACACCACGTTTTTCACATTTCCGCTTTTGGTGGGGAGTAATTTTCAAACAGCGCACAAATTTACCATTGTTAAGTTGCCCCATTCTATTAATATCTGGCTCTGCTGAAGGGGGGTGGGGGCTGCGACTTCCACGACTGAGAGAGAAATAAGGAGGTGTGCTTTCTATTAATTGGGTCCTGCAGGCTGCAAGTGTTGTTAGGTGCACTCTCCCCCTCTGCACTTTGTGGCTAGGCCATAAAGTGCATAGGAAGAGAGGCCAGCCTATCTGCAAGCTGGGAAGGAGGCTGGAAAGAACCTCTGTGGTGCTGTTACCCTGTGTATGGAAAGGCCTTCCCCGACTGAAGAGAGTGAAGGTGAGGGAGGGAAGGAGCTGTGGCAGCCACAATAACAGAGGGACAGAAGAGGCAAAGAGCAAAATGGCTTGGTCTTGTACCTGCCCAGCAATCCCTGGAGCAGCACCATGAGCATCAGTACTCACAACAACTGCCACGCTCCACAAAGGCTATCACAGCAGCCATTGCATGACACCAAACTGAGGCAAGCACGGGGGTATGTGTGCTCAGCTCATTATCCAACAAAGAAATTTGGGGCAGCTCCTTTTCTTAGGGAACTGTGAGAGATGAGAGAAAATGGAGTGTGAGGGAGGACACCTTATGCTGGCTGGCCCCTTGGGTGTGTATATGTCAAATTCAGGGTTTTCTTCCTTTCAAGTAGCAGAACGTCAAGATTGCTGTTACAATTACAATCATTCACAGAATGTTATCCCTCACCTCTCCTCTCTCTCTGCATTCTTCCACCTCCTCCAAAAAACATATCAAAGATATCCATAGGTGATCCAAAGCCGCCTCCGCTACCACCCTCCTTTATAGCTTGTTCACCACCTTTATCATACAAATCTCTTTTCTTGGGGTCAGAAAGTACTTCATAAGCTTGAGAGATCTGCTTGAACTACAAGACAAAAATCAAAAACATACTTCAGAATGTTTAGATACAGGAAAGATTACTTGACTTGTGTATAAAGGCCAAGGAAGCCACACTGGCCCCAAACAAAATCTGAAAACAGGACAGCAGATAGCTGACACGGTTATAATACAACTACTAAAAGATGGTTAATTTTAAAGAAACAGCTGACCTTCTTGCATGTTCAAAAACAAGCTGAGCACAAATGACTTCAAGCATCAGATTAAAGGTAAAGTAGTAGCCAATCATTACTGCATTCATTTAAAAGTGTTACTAATGGCTCCCTCAATACTGGCCAACCTGCCTATTACAAAGTACAAGTCACATGCTAAAACTAGTACTAACAACACACCCACATACCACGAAGAAATTTCAAAGTTTGTCACATGCCGGGGAAGAGGATACACATTCAGGACTGGCAACAAGAATCCAGCTCAAAGAGCAATTAGCAGGGTCTAGGCATCCTAGTGCTTCCTACCTCTGCCACCACTTTAAATTAAAGCAAGGTGACAGCCACGTCACTTCCCAGATGAATTCATTCTAGCTGAGCTCACTCAGCAAAAAATAAGCTGGAAGCGGAAATCATCTGCATTTGCAGTTTACTTTTCATCTTCCATCTTAACCCTTAATGAAGCATAGTTGACCAAATTGGGAAGTGACACAGATTTCAATGCTGTGACAATTCAAAAAGCTATCTGGGTGCAGAGAGAAAAGAGCCAAGAGCATCACCTCCACCCTCTGAGTAATCTTAATGGTGCTTGCTATCCACAAGATGGTGACAAAAGCAAAAGTAATGAACAGGTGGCTGGATTGGTCCTCTGGCCATAGTAGATGCTAATGCTATTTTAAGGTCTATTAGATATGTTAATCTCCTGTTGCAGTTTCTTCATCTTCACACATTTGGATATACAGGCTTTCCTCAAAGAAGAACTACCACCACCGTCCTGCTCTTCTTGTTCATCTGGAATAGCTATTTGATCCTCCTGGGTTCTGTACCTGTGATCACCAAAACAGGACCAAAACCTCCACTTGTCTCACAGGAGTTATACTAGAAGGGTGGAAGAGGCTTCCTTTCCCACCTCTTCACCACTTCGCATCATGGAGAGAGAAATTAAAGAGTTTCGAGGAGTCACTAAAGTTCCCAATCATTGTTTTCATCTTCTCTTTCCTCCACAGACCTCAGAGCAAGTCCACAGTTTCCTCCTACCCTCTTGTATCTTCATGACTACTTTGCAAAACCAAAAACATCCTCTACAGGGGTAGTGAACCACACATGACATCTCTGTACAGATCTACAGGTATATCTTGCACACTTGCCTTTTCACCCTCATTAGGATTCTTGTCGGGATGATACTTCAGTGCCAGTTTCCTATAGGCTTTTTTCAGCTCCTCTTGGGAGGCATTAGGCTTTACCCCGAGCACATCATAATATGTGGTCTCCTTCACCATCCTGCCACTGGTACCTTTTTTGGGAGAGGGAGAGAAAGACAGAGACAGGCTAACAAATAAGAAGAAAAAAACTGCCTCCCGAAAACACAGGCTAAACAAATCCCTAAAGAAAGCCAGGAGGCTAAAGAAATCCCTACAGACCCTTCTCACCACTCATCAGAGCACCTCCAGGCAGACAATCGATTTTTGTCCTGCTGAGCCTAATAAAGCATCCTATTTACTTTTGCCTACCGATGTGACACAACAGCATACCCCCGCCAAAAAGTAAATCTGACAGCTTTCAGGACGGGATTGGATGAACATATGGAGCAGAGGTCCATCAGTGGCTATTAGCCACAAGGTGTAGATGGAACACTCTGTCTGGGGCAAGTGATGCTCTGTATCCTTGGTGCTTTTGGGGGGGGGGCACAGTGGGAGGGTGTCCCCCCCCCCCCCCCCCACGGCACCTGGTATTTTTGGCCACTGTGTGACATAGAGAGTCGGGCTGGATGGGCCATTCGCCTGATCCAACATGGCTTCTCTGATGTTCTTAAGGCCCAGCATGCCCATCTGCTCCCCACCCCCTCATACTTCATACAGAGATGCCTCCTATAGATTTGACCATCAGATGACCCTTAGTGTTGAAGGGAGCGCTTCCCTTCTCCCCCCACCCCCATTTTTTTCAAATGCACATCATCTTCGCGTTACAGAACGAGATCAGGGCAGTCCCACATGGCCGGGCCCCCCCAATACATTTCTACACACTTCACAGACAAAGGGGCGCTTTCTGTACTCTCCCCCACACCCACACACCCGACAGACTCTGAAATAATTAAAAACGATAACAAAAGGCGACACCTTGGGGGTGACAGACCCCCCCCTCCCCCTCGAAAAAGGCTCGATATTTTTTAAAGCCACATTTTCTCCCCCCCCCCCAAGCCAGGGTCACCTGACCAGGCACGCGCCAGAATCCTCCCCCCCCCTCCCCCCCCGCTTCCCGCTGAAAGCTCTGAGGTAAAAAGAAAAAAAAGCCGCTCCTTTTCTTCCCGCCGCCCCTCCCCGCTTCTTCCACTCACCGCGCGCTCAATGCCGAAAGAAGAAGTGGGGAGGGAAAAAAAGAAGCAATCCTTATTTTCGGTCCCCCGCCCCCCTTCCCCCACAGCAAGCCGAGCTTAGTCCTTGTCCGCGGCCGCCTCCGATAGAAGCCGACAATCCCGACTTTTCTGGAAAGTTCCGAGCCGGTCTTAGGGTAGGCAGGCAGCATCCGGGGAGTTTTTCTTGTTCAAGGAAGCCCCGCCCATTCCACGGAAAGGCCGCCTCCTCGTCTCGGTCTCGATCGCGGCCATTCGCCGGTTTCGGAGAGGACGATGACGCAATCCGAAGGCGGCTCCAATCGGCCCCCTAGGCATGCACGTCATCGCCCAGAAACTACCAGTCCCATCATGCCCAGCGCACGAAGCCGCGTCGGCTTGCAAGTGCCTCTCTTCGGTGCGGCCAGAATGCAATGGGGGGAGTAGTTCTCGTGCTCACAAAGAAGCTGCTTGGGGTCCACGAGGTTTCCTGTCTGGTAGGCTCTAGTTCATTAGCTACTTCCGAGGAGCGTCTCGAAGTAGACGTGTAGCGTTACCAGATGTCTTCTTTTTTGGTGTCCGTCCTCTTTTGGGCTGTTTAAAAAAAAAAAACCTGATGAAAATGCCCTCTCTTCGGGTTGAACTGTTAAGAATATTCCTCGTTAGTAGCAATTATCACAGCTTAAATAGTAGGGGTATTTCAAAAGAGATTTGTCACAGTGATCACTTGTCTGAAGTCGTTAGTCGGGAAATATGTCCTATTTTTTGCTTTTCAGAAATGCAATATACACGTGAGATAGTTTTAGCCGCATTATTTATTTATTTGAACAATATATATATATCCCGCGGGGCATCTCGCAGCATATTAAAACCCCACTCAAGCCCACATCAGAATAATATAAAATAACAGCTCCTTAATTTAAAAAGGGTAACCGAGATAGTCTGCTTTAGCGTAATTATCAGGAATAAAGTAGCACCGGAAGACTAATAAAATGTATTTCCGTGTGAACTTTTGTGAGTCAGAGGTCATGAAGCAAGCATCCACTGGGCCTGACTATGCAAGAGGGATGGACTGGAGGGGATTGGGTTACCAATTCTGTCTTGGGAAATTTCTTGATATTTGGGGGCAATGCCCAGGGAGGGAGAATAATGCCATAGTCTGGCATTTCCTGCGCGGGAGGTGATTTCTGTATCTGGAGATCACTTGTAATTTCAGGAGAACTCTCCGGATAGCGGCAGTCCTTGGGGGCGCGTGCCTGTGGGGGGGGGGGGGTGTTTCAGAGAGTGGCACCTGTAAAACAAGACCCAGTCAGAGTAATCTATTCATACAGAGAATGCAGTGGAGGTTTTTATTGTAAGAAAAAAAATCTCAAGTGCATTCTTAGCCTTTGAATGCATGTTTCTATTACAGTGACATCATTGATTCTGTGTAAGTCACAGCTGGAATGCAACCCAAATCTGGGAGGCAGTAACAGACATAACTTACACTCTTT